AAATTGACAAAATTATTGATGTATATTTGTATCGTAACAATAACGTACCTTTTGTTTTATTTTTTCTTCTTCTTTTTCTTCTTCTTCTTCTTCTTATAACTTGTATATTATATTAATAATTTCGATGTAAATTTTAAAACGCGATATAATAATAGAAAATATTCGTACGAATAAATACGAGAATAATTTAATTTAAGTGAGAATTGACACGATGCCAAAAAGGTATACACCTGGCATCGATTTCGTGATGCATAGAAATTTTTAGATCAAGGGCTTACTTTCTACAGATGATCTTCGATTATTTATAATCTTATACTAAAATCTTATTATAACTATTGCGTTGATTAAACGAAAACTAATGTACCCAAAAATATTCAAAACTGAATATCAATTTTTGAACAAATTACAAATTATTGATATTGTATAGAATTTTTGTTAATGAAAATAACCCATATTTGTTGTCATCCCATAGCCATAATAACTCGTACAAAAAATCTTTTGCAAAGAAAAATATTTTCTATTTTAATAACCACAAATTCTGAGCCAACCTTTTTTCTTTTTAATTGGATCATAAAATCGAAACAAAATATTCATCCATCTTTTATTCCAAAATTCTCATTTGAATTCATTTTGATTTGTTTTACAGGTAATCATGAATTCGATGTTAACTATCGTCGTATCTCTGGCAACCGTTTCGATTTTATTTGGTGAAATTTTTGCGATGCCCCCGGCCCAATGTAGTCCAGGTTTACTCGATGAAGTACCACCTAGGGTACGAAAAATTTGTGCTGCACTTTCTACCATATATCAACTTAGCTCAGCCATGGAAAGTTACGTCAACGACAAAGGTAATTCTTATTTATTTATATTTACCCATACGATTCATGGGAATTTAATTAAAATCTAATCAATGGTAATTTAATATTCGTTTCAACGTAATTCTTGTCAAAAAAAAATCACGTATTAAAAAAGAGGGTTCGATTGAAAATTATTATCGTTTTACGTCAATCAATACTTTTTTTTTCTATATTAATTATGTTACAGCATTTTTTTTTTCTTTCCAATCGTAAACTAATTTTCAACGATTATTATTCAAATTATTATTCAAATTGTCGATAAATATTTTTCGATCATAATATTTAAAGGTTAACGTGAAAATCCGAAATTGGAGAACGTCAAGATTTACGTTCTAGCTTGGTACATGTTTAAAAATATTTAATGTATCAGAATAAATCCAAATATTCGATCTTTTAACGATCATATTTGGTATCTGTTGACATTTCACTATGTGAATCTTAACATTCTCCAAGTTCGGTCTTTCACAACATATACACAAAAAATGTGGTATATTTATATAAATAATATTAATATAAAACAATATAATATAAATTCCGGTTACCAGTGACATCCCAACTTCTCACTGATAAATTTAATGACGGTCACCGGTGACCACTGTGGCATTAAACGTGTTAAAGAAATGAAGATCATATCAGATAATCCTATCATTGTTTTTTATTATATAAAATTATTTTAAAGTAAACTAATTCGATCACAAAAAAAAAGAAAGAAATAAAAGAAAAAACAAATCAAGATGAAATCTTCTAAAAATATTCAACCTTTTATTTTCAACGTGTGAAGAAGATTCACATAATCACGCGTATATTAAGGTTAATACCGTGTAATTACAATTGGAAATAATTATACCCTAAAGCAATACACGTTCTACGTCAATTATTGTTTCGTTTTCTTTGAATCGGATAACGATTTCGATTGTCTAGTGAAGAAAAAAAAAAGGAAAAAACAAGAAGAAAAGTAGGAAAAGAAAAAAAACGAAACTAACCTAAAAATAAAAATACAATGAAATGTTTATAACTCTCTTAAGGGGTTTGGGACTTTCAACAAAATTTTTTTTTTCAATTCTACAACTCATCTAAAATATTGTATTCAATTTTGAAATCGATAGGAGTAGTAGTTTTAAAGATAGAGCCCTGGGAAGTTGCACTCTTTAATGGCTCTTATATCAGCACTCAAATCTTTAAACGCGTTTTTCTCAAAACGCTTTTTCTAAAGTCGGTTGTCAAGATTTCTCGAAAACTATTTAACCGATTTTCATGAAATTTGCTACACGTCTTCGTGATACTATTGACAAGGACTT